TTCCCATAATAGAAGAACTAGAGGACACCAAATGAAATTAATGGGTAGCAGGTTTAAAACGAATAAAATAAAGTTCTTCTTCACACAGTGTGTAGTCAACCTGTGGAACTCCTTGCCAGAGGAAGCTGTGAAGGCTAGGACTATTATAGAGTTTAAAGAGAAGCTAGATAATTTCATGGAGGTTAGGTCCATAAAAGGCTATTAGCCAGGGGATAAAATGGTGTCCTTGGCCTCTGTTTGTCAGATGCTGGAGCGAGATGGCAGGAGACAAATCGCTCGATCATTGTCTTTGGTCCACCCTCTCTGGGGCACCTGGTGTTGGCCACTGTCGGTAGACAGGATACTGGGCTAGAAGGACCTTTAGTCTGACCCAGTACGGCCGTTCTTATGTTCTCTTCTGCAGACTAAATAAGCCCAAATCCCTTAGCCTTTCCTTATAGGTCATGTGCTCCAGCCCCGCTAACCATTGTGGTTGCCCTCCACTGGAACCTCTCCAGTGCGTCCACATCCTTTCTGTAGTGGGGGGCTCAGAACTGGATGCAATACTCCTGATTGCGTCTCCTCACCTTGGGGTCTTCAGCTCCTTCCCTCAGGTGCAGCCCAGCCAAAAGACCCAGACCCTCTTTCCTATTCTTTTTTAAAGAATTAAGGCCATTCCTTACCAAACACTGCTCAGACTTAAGGACAAAAGGGATTGTTTAACAGTTGTTCATTAAGACATTGAGGGTAACACCCTCTGTGCTTCATTCAGAGATTTAAAACCCACAAAGTATTCCCCACGCCATATGTCTAATTTTACACACAAAAATGATACATACATCAAAGTAAGATCAACAGAACCAGCAGATCGTGACATGAAGATTGATAGGTTACATGAAATAATTTGCTCAAAGCACATTTTAGTTATATGTATTCATGTCCATAAGTCCATTTCATAAAGCATGAGGAGGGAGGTCCATCACAGTTAGTTTTAGAGTGATGGTTTAATAGATTGTTTTCTGGGAAGAGAATTTTGGTTGTCAGCATAGATTTAAATTAAACATCGAGAATTTGCTTGGGTCCTAACAGTTTAACTAGACATTTATTAATTTTTTTAACTGATTAAATAGGCAGCTTCTTGAAGCAAGGGAGAAATATCATGATGCAGAAGGTAAAGTGAAGAATTTGAAGAAGTTTATTAAATTACTGGATCAAATAATGACACAGAGATACAAAATGTATCAACAGTTCAGAAGGTGAGTGTGATTTTCAATGTAGAGTTTAGTAATTCAAATGCATGTCATGTGGCAGATAAAAAGTACTTGTTAAATTCTATGGCTTTTGGAAATGTAGGCATTTCCCAGGGCCAGGCTGAAGAAATTTTGTATTCAACACATTTAAAACTCCTGTTTTAGGCCTCTATACCATATATGGGTTTTTTTCAATAATTCTAGCTAACCATTATCATCTTCTTATTCCTCTCTTAAAAATACCAAACAAAACTGAAATTGGAAAACGTACAGCAAAGTGTTTTAAAAAAAATCCAATATTTCCATCACAAAATTCTAGGAGAGAGTTCTATGTCTTGATGTTAACCAGAAGGCTATGTTTATCTTGCAAATGCGTTCTTTACTACTGAAAGTTCAGAAATCAGAATATGCTACTGAATGCACACCTGCTTTAAAATTAGAAGCTGCTGTCTTGTAGCAGACCTCTTGTCAAGTTGGTTGCAGCATCGACTCATTGTTCTTCAAGTGATTATCGATAAGGATTCCACTTTTTGTGTGCTTGTGCCCCAGGCACGTGAGACTAGATTATTTTGGCTTGCTGTGTCAGTTGGAGATTAAGAAGCTAGAGAAGCATGCCTCAATTTTTCTCCACAAAAGCTGAACAAATCACAGACACAGAAGGAAATCAGAGGTGTATCTGTCATCTGATAAGTATCTCCCCATGAGTGTACTGGTGAGCCAATATTTCACCCCAAGTTGCCAGCCCAATTCCAAGAGGCCCTAGTCATCCACAATAAAGTCAGTGTTCACTGATGGGTACAAAGGAACACTGCTCAAGGAAGAAGTAAGTGCAGATCATATTGTCTAATGCTCAGTGAGCCAAGAGACTAGTCATCAGACTTCCTGACTTTACTTGGCCAAAAGCATGACCAGACTCTTTTGGGAGACATGATACTGATTAGTTAGAGTGCCTTTGTTACATACTGAATGTGCAGATTCTTTCTCTTTTGATACTGTCCCTTCACTTCAACATCAGTCTCTGTACTTAATGTCTCGGTATCCAGAGATCCAGTATCTATCTTCTCTGCATCAGGCATCTTGGATCTATGTTCCTTGGTAGTGGCTAACTTCGTGCAAAAATATATATGGTGTGACAGGCTGCTGGCTACAGCCTGGTTGAAAAGATCAATTAGAAGCAGCTGTGGGCCTCATTAGCCAAAGGGCTACATAAAGTGGTCAGAAAAGAGCCAGGAGGGAGGAGCAAGGAGAGGAGTCAGGGTGTGGCTGAGTATGCTCCTCAAGCAAGAAGGAGAGGCTGGTGAGTTTGCTGCATCTAAAAAACTTTGTAAATAGAAGGTGGTGGGAAACTGACAATAAAAGAAATGGGTGACTGCACCAGAAGGGGTCTCCGGCTGATTTGTGGACCAGAAGCTGTTCCAGGGCAAGGAGCCTGAGCAAGGACCTTGCCATAAGTGGTGTCGGGGGGAATTCAGCATCAACAAATGTGGTTGGTGGCCCAGAGATGGAGGAGACCTTGCAGTGGCTCGTCAAGCAGCAAGAACAGGTGCAGCAGGGCCTGCAAAGTTTCCAGCAGTACCACCAGGTGGAGGGACAGGACTTGCTAACCTGGCTGGCAGAGCAGCAGCAGAGCCTGACGGATTTTATTAAAGAGCAGAGCAAGGTGCAGCAGCAGCTCCTGCAAAAAAGTGATGAGTCCTGGGGGAGGGAATGATACCTGGACACCGGGCCTTGGATTGTGTAAAATGGGACCAGCAGATGACCCCAGATGCTTTTTTGGGGACATTTGAGCAGATAGCTTTGGCCACTGGATGAGAGAGGGCTACCTGGGCCTTGCGGCTGGCTCCCTACGTGGCAGGAGAGGCTCAAGCAGCCTACATGTCCTTGGGGGATGATCAAGTCCGCAACTATGAGGCAGTGAGAGTGACCATTTTGGACCAGGTGGATCTGTCCACGGAAAAGTACTGGCAGAAGTTTCGGCTAGCATGATGGACAGCAGCAGTGAGGCCTTGGGCATTTGCCCAAAAATTAATAGACTGGGCAGCCTGCTGGCTGAGGCCAGAGAAATGCATAGTGCAAGAAATAATGGACTTGCTCGTATTTGAGCAGTTGCTGCAAGCCCTTCCAGAGAATATCCGTGTGTGGGTCAGGCGCCACCAGCTTGACTCAATGGATGCAGCGGTCAGGCTGGCAGAGGAGTATACAGAGGCAGAGGTCCCCCAGACAGAAGGCTGACCCTACTGGGACAAGGAACAAGGGAGGAAGCTGGAGGAGTCCTTTCTGAGAGAGGCCCAGGAAGGAAGGAGGCATCCCAAGGAGCACCTGTGGGGGCTGGGCCAATGACCTACTGGCAATGTGGGAGGGCAGGGCATAGAAAGCGAGATTGCCCGGACAATATGGATTGTGGATACGTGGGGTTCTGTGGGTTGACTTGGGTGGGAGGACCTGACAAGAGGCAGAGTCTGCCCACTGTCACGATATGGGTGGGGAGAAAGGCCCGGTGAGGGTTAATGGACTCTGTGTCAGTCCACTCGCCAGTGCACAAGGGGCTAGTGAGGTGTGTAGCAGTGATGACACTAGAATGTGTCCATGGGAACAAGAGGTCCTACCCAGTAGCCCAGGTGTCGCTGAAAGTGAGGTGCAGATTCCAGTGAAAGTGGGTGGGGGTAGTAGACGAGCTACCATACCCTGTGGTTGTAGGTCAAGACTGGAACCAATCTGCCACGGAGAGCGAGAGGGGAGCCTCCGGGAAAGGTAAGAGATCCCCCCCGAGGGAGACAAGCGTAGCCGTTGGTGCTACGGGTGTGAGGAACAAGGGCATATAGTAGGGCGGTGTCCTCTAACTCTGTGGAGAAAGAAAGATGGGAATTGTGTCTGGGGGTAATGGGTAGTCCTAGTCCTTCCCAGAGAGGAGGCACATTGGATCACTTCCCAAAGCAGCCCCCAGAAAAGGAGACATCAGCCCTGGTTGAAATGAGGGAAACTGAAGCACAGATGGTGCTGCACAAAGTGGGGCGGGACCAACACCCTACTTCCCCCTCTTTCCCCCCTCCCCCCAGTGCTGATGGAAGCAATGTTGGAGGAAGGGACCTGACGGGGGTGCATTTGGTGTGAGGACCTGTGGGCCAATGCCTGAATTATATGGGCCAGTCCCTTTCCACTGTAATTTTTGTGCGGAGGGAACAAAGAGCCTCCTGAAAAAACCCTGAGGGGAAAGTCAGTGGATGTGATGTACCTTAACTTGAGCAAAGCTTTTGATATGGTCTCCCACAATATTCTTGACAGCAAGTTAAGGATGTATGGATTGGATATATGGACTGTAAGATGGATAGAAAGCTGGCTAGACTATCGGGCCCAACGGGTAGTGATTAATGGCTCAATGTCAGGTTGGTGGTTGGTTTCTAGCAGAGTGCCCCAAGGATCAGTTCTAGGGCCGATTTTGTTCAACATTTTCATTCAGTAACTGGATGAGGGGGTGGATGGCATCCTCAGCAAGTTTGCGGATGACAACAAGCTAGGGGGAGAGGTAGATATGTTGGAGGACAGGGAATAGGGTCCAGAGTGACCTAGACAGATTAAAGGATTGGGACAAAAGAAATCTGATGAGGTTCAACAAGGACAAGTGTAGAGTCCTGCACTTGGGATGGAAGAATCTCAAGCACTGTTACAGGTTGGGGACCGAATGGGTAAGTAGCAGTTTGACAGAAAAAGACCTGGGGATTACAGTGAATGAGAAGCTGGATATGAGTCAACAGTGCTCCCTTGTAGCCACGAAGGCTAATGGCATATTAGGGTGCATTAGGAGGAGCATTGCCAGCAGATCTAGAGAAGTGACTATTCCCCTTTATTTGGATCTGGTGAGGCCACATCTGGAGTATTGCAACCAGTTCTGGGGCCCCCATTAGAGAAAGGATGTGGATGCATTGGAGAGGATCCAGCAGAGGGCAACCAAAATGATTAGGGGGCTGAGAGCACATGACCTATAAGGAAAGGCTGAGGGATTTGGGCTTATTTAGTTTGCAGAAGAGAAGAGTGAAGGAGGATTTGATAGCAGCCTTCAACTTCCTGAAGGGAGGTTTCAAAGAGGATGGAGAGAGGCTCTTCTCAGTACTGAGGGATGGCAGAACAAGGAGCAATGGTCTCAGATTACAGTGGGAGAGGTCTAGATTGGATATTAGGAAAAACTATTTCACTATGGGTGTGTCTAGACTGCAGGCTTCTTTTGAAAGAGGCTCTTTCGAAAGCATCTTTCGAAAGAGGCTCTTTCGAAAGAGAGCGGCTAGACTGCACGGAGAAATTTCGAAAAAGCGGCTTGCTTTTTCGAAAGAAAGCATCCAGTGAGTCTGGATGCTCTCTTTCGAAGAAGCCCTATTTACATTGAAGAACGCCTTCTTTCGAAAGAGGAACTTTCGAAAGAAGGCATTCTTCCTCGTGAAATGAGGTTTACCGCCATCGAAAGAAAAGCCGCGTTCTTTCGAATTAATTTCGAAAGGACGCGGCTTGAGTCTGGACGCAGGGGAAGTTTTTTCGAAAAAAGGCTACTTTTTTCGAAAAAACCCCTGAGTGTGGACACAGCCTATGAGGGTGGTGAAGCACTGGAATGGGTTACCTAGGGAGGTGGTGGACTCTCCATCCCTAAAGGTTTTTAAGTCTCAGCTTGACAAAGCCCTGGCTGGGATGATTTAATTGGGATTGGTCCTGCTTTGGGTAGAGTGCTGGACTTGATGACCTCCTGAAGTCTCTTGCAGCTTTATGATTCTATGACTCCCTTAGCAAGGACCAGAGTGGCCCTGGGAGGGACAACTCCCCAAGGAGGACCCCAAGAAAAAGAGGGACAAGTCACCCCAAAGCACAGAGAGTTTTAAAGACTGTCAGGCTGCCCTAAGCACTCAGCTGCAGGAGGCACTGAAGCGCCAGGGAAAGGGACCACAAGAGGGCCGGGGCAGTCCCGAACCTGGTGACTCATAAGTCTGGGTATGTCTACACTACCCTCCTAGTTCGAACTAGGG